AAAAACAGCGCCTCAGTCACATATAAATTGCTCATTTCCGGCGACTATACCGCCACCTCCGAGTGTATCTCGAACGCCGCTACGTGCGGCAAAGCTGCAGGAGATGCGGAAGCTGCTGCTCGTGAGTCCCAGTCATCTAGTTTAGCCCCAATCCACGCCGCCAGTAGCGGCGTGGGAGATACGCTCAGCGGTGGTGGTAGTCGTCGGAAGTTCGCAATTTAAATCGCCAGAAGTCCTTATTTTACATGTAACTGAGGCCCTGTTATAGTGTTTTTGTGGCCGATATAATATGTGAATTATGTGGCTGTTATTTGGAGGATAGCCGATCTCCAGATGGGTGTATCGGACGCTGGACATCTTGCTTGTGATCGAAAAGTTTTCCGGAGGGTTGTTATGGAAGCAAGGTTTTGCAAGGGACATGCTCCTGACTGACTGACTAACTGACACAGCACTATTTTCTTGGCTTCATAGAGAGGGAACGTAGTCAAATTTCACTGGATCTCCTACATAGAAAGGGATCGTACTTTTTGCATGGGGAATTTAAAAACGCACAACGTGAAAAGAGAAGAATAAATATTACAAGTGTAGGTAAATCTACATAAATTTAAACCCTTTTCCCAAAATAAAATAAAATAGATTAAAAGCAGACTACATCCTTTCTGTTGTTAAATAACATTTAAGTTAAACTGGACCCTTTAAGTTAATATGTACTAAAAACAGGGACTTAAGACTGGTACGTGAATATGACTGATTCCGAATTTTTAAGGTAATTTAACGACCGCAGACATGGAATCTTGCAAAAGTGTCCTAGTGCTGTTGCAGTGTTGTTGTATTTTTCTTGGCGACTCAGGTAGCTGTCTGTGTCATAAAGGACAACTAATTTAGTTTCCAAATGAGTAATTTATATACAAATGTTTGCAATTATGCCAGACTGATTTACATTCAGACTGGTGCTAGTAGTATAAGAATTTCCAACTGCAACTCTGCTCTATCTGCTGAAGATAGGGTCGTTTGGAAGAGTGTCAAGAGTTCAGTTCTTAAATAAATTCTGTTGGCAACTCTGTGGTAGAAAGGGAAATATCCATACATATGTTTAGATTAAAAGGGACATTTTCTCATTGTGAATATAAACAATAAGGATATAGAAAATAGCAAGTTATTCAGTCGATGGAACCATTCAGTACATAAGTGCTCGGATCCCCTCCTGACATCGGCGATCGGATCGCACTTTGGCTCGGCTATAGACGACTTCGTTGCCGGTCGGGACATTATTTTGGTCTGTCTCCCTTAATCACATCAACGCTGCAGATTCATTTTAGGGCTTTTGGTCGCCAACAAGTCTAAGCCATTTGATACAGAGCACATAACCTGGTCACAATTATAACCTAAAGCTTACTCTTTGGGATGCTGATTAAACCTGATAATTTTTTTGGGGCAAACCACCACCACCACCTGACATCTTCACGGCACATCGAACGATTCAGTCCACAAGTGCTCGGATCGCCTTCTAGTATCCTAGGTGCACATCGACAAATTGCGCCCATAAGTGCTGGCTTCCTGAATTGTACTTTTGTCTAGCCTCACCCTTGATAACTTGTTGCTCTTGCAGTATGTTAATGGCTGCAGATTCACAGTTATTACTTGTTTCTCACACTTGTTTCTCGTACTTTTCGTAGAGTATTCACTATAGTTAACAAATAAAAAATAAAAAACGGTGGTGAAATTTACAGTATCCATCAATGTGGATTCAGGACATTGATTATGAAGGCCCAAATGGCTGGCGAATTAAGTAGAGACTTTTATGTATGCTGAGAGCGACGTTCTGTAAAGAACCTGCTGATTGAAGAAGATGATTAAGTTTGGGCACACATAACAAAGTGCATAGTTCATCGCGCATGGCATTTTTACTTTTCTCTTCAGGTGCATTCTACAGACATCAATATATTATCTTCATTTGTCGTCACATTATTATTGGGATTTACCCCAGTGTCGTGGTTTTATGTATTTGTCTTGCACTTATCGGGTGGCTTGGGCGATTTATTTGCTCACAATTTTGCATTATTCACCGACCCCGTCTATCCATCTCTCCCTTGGTTTCCCCTTCGCCTTCCGCCCATTTGGTCTGCTGTAGATAGTCTCATTTACAGTTAGATCTAGCTTCATTCTTACTAGATGGCCAAACCCCTCCAGCCTCTGTCTTTCAACATAAAAGAACAGCTTGTGAAAACATGCAAATTCCACTACATGGCATTGGGCTAAAGGGCGAAAGCTCATGCGCCGCTAGATCGATAACAACAACAACATAAATCGTCGACATGCAATATATAATAATACACATAGCCTAGCACACAGTTTATTGTTACACGAATTATCTAAACACGGAAGTGTTATATTAACGGCGATCATTTCCCCTAACTAACCCTGGAATGCTCGTCATAATTCCTAATTTCTGCACATATCAACCGGCACCATTTTATTCTACGATAAGGAGCCGCCATATCATAACGGCCGGTCGCTCGTCTTTTGGCCAAAAGTCTTGGAATCGAATTACACACTAGGCATGAACTACTCTAAAGACTTAAGAAGGTCATGCACTAGGTCACTTGTTTCCAACCCCTTTCAACTGGCGCCTCTTGACAACCCACCCCCCCCCCCCCCACGCTTTTCCCCCAACAAAATAAAATGGGATCCGAAAAAAAAATCTAAATGTCATCGTATTAATGAGGGTTCTAACGGTACATGTGCAAACTGCTTATGAAAAAAGTCCTTTTTGTTTTATGAAGAGTTGAAACATGGTTTAATTTGTAATTAGACTGAAATAAAAATGTTAGTATAAAGGACAGCTATCCTTCGAATGACGGACACTAAAGATGGTGGCCGCAAAATATCCGTTCGAGCCGCAGTCACGTGTCCATTGCGCACTTCCGGCTACTTAATTTGCGGTTTTTCGGCGACTATCGCCACCGCCACGTGGCCCCCACGCCGCTCACGTGGCGTGGATTGGGGCTAAACTAGATGGCTAGGACTCATAAGCAAAGCTGCAGGAGACGCGGAAGCTGGTGCTCGTGAGTCCTAGCCATCTAGTTTAACCCCAATCCACGCGGCGTGGGGGCCACGTTGAGGTAGCTGTTGTTGGCGGAAAACCGCAAATTAAGTAGCCGGAAGTGCGCAATTGACACGTGACTGTGGTTCGAACGGATATTTTGCGGCCGCAATCTTTAGTGCCCGTTATTCGAAGGATAGCCTAAAGGACTATTACAAGTACAAATAAAATAATTTTAAAAAATTGCTTGACGTTCCAACCCTTCCCTTGAATTTTTTTCGAGCTCCCGCCCACCCTTTTTTCCCTCTCCCTCCTCTCCCAGGTAGGAGGCCAATGCACTAGGCTAATAATTTTATTTAAGAACCCAACAATTGTTCCGCTTGATTGCTAGTATAAAGGTACCAAACGAAAGCTAATCCCATAAACCTTGTTCCGCCGTATGACATTTATATGTGGGAACTTGGCGGTTACAGAGTCACCAGTCTTCCGAAAGTTCTGCCCAACTTACAAATCTGTAAATCGGTCAACATTCTGTGTAAGTTGTTGCAATTTTGCATGATAACATGCCCTTTAAAAAAATGTGAACAAACGTATAGTTTTCATTGTGCCTATGTGCAGTATATATATATATATATATATATAAAAACAGGCACTGATTCAAGGCAAACACTCAGCATGCGTGCAGTTAGATGAATAACGGGAACTTGTTAAAACATCAAATTGCACGAGCTCCATAGGCGTTTAACTCTCACGTGGTCATCTCTGGCATTAGTTTCCGGTAGTAAAGTAAAGGACCCTTTTCCACGCCTTTAGGCGTATAGGGCAAATAGGACTAGACCTATATTTTATAGACCAATCGGCACAAGATGGGTGATGTGGTCAGCATCACACTGGCCGTCTTTACTTCCCGGGACTGCACCAGGTACCCACTCAAGGCTTGGTCGACCTAGGAGCCAAGGTCATAGTCTCCAGTGAGTTACGGATTTTTCATTGTAAGGCAGGATAGGCTTTCAAAATAATCATCATGTATCGCTGCACATGTGAACTGATGTCTAAACAATATCCACGCGCATGCCATCAACTGTATATTCTATTCTTTAGGGGTACAGGCATGACTAATCAAACAAAGATCAGAGAAATTCGCCGCTTTGAGAAAACAGCAGCAATCTTAAATTATAAAACAGAAAAGATAAGGCTACCTGCAGAAATTAGTGTTTATCCGTACAGGAGTTTTCGACATATTTGTTAACTGTAACGGCACTGGGAGTCGCCGTAGCAGAGCGGCTAGACGCTCGCCGCGGATCGGAAGGTCGTGGGTTCGCTCCCTGGTAGAGCCAGACATTTTTCAGAAATGACCTTGACTCCCAAGTCGACCCTGCCTTGAGTGGGTACCAGAATGTAAAGGCGGCCGGCGTGGTGTTGACTCCATCACCCAACTTGTGCCAATTGGTCAATAAAATATGTCTAGCCATATATGTCCTATAATCATAAAGGCGGGAAAAAGGGTCATTTACTTTTTTTAGGGCCCCAGTTTTGAAACGCACTATAGTTATTGAAACGCACTATAGTTATTGAAACGCTCTATAGTTATTGAAACGCACTATAGTTATTGAAACGAACTATAGTTATTGAAACGCACTATAGTTATTGAAACGCACTATAGTTATTGAAACGCACTATAGTTATTGAAACCCTCTATAGTTATTAAAACGCACTATAGTTATTGAAACGCACTATAGTTATTGTACTACGCTAAGGTAGTGTCCTACTGATAACAGGACATCATTATGATACTGTTTACTTTACATTTGTAACTTATACTTAATGTTGTTTTTACCTGTTTCTGTTGCTGCCGCATCAACTTCCACAATGTTCGACACCGCCGCTTTATTTCTTTGACGACGACGACTACCATCACTACCATTACCACAACTACCACCACCCCTACCAATATCAGTGTTTGGCTCACGCACATCAGAAAAAATTTACATCAACCTCAAGACTCAGAATGCTTGTATTCTTAACCTGAACGCCACACATGAAGTCGGATGTAGATGTAAGTAGTCATTGCTCTTCCCGTGTGGGTTTCAGGCCCCTGTTTTTGGGTAGAAAGGAATAGGCTTCCTAATTAGCACGTAAAAAAAAGTCGAATAATTAGGGGTGTTTCATTTGAAGTGGGAGTGCATTTTTCTGGGAGCCGAGGAACTAACAGTCTGCATAAAAAATACGATAGCTATGTAAAATGGATGAGATTTCAAATTTGGAAAGAAGACCAAAGTCCAGAAGTTAACGAACAGCCACAGTTTTCCACCGGCAATTAACAACGAACTGCACATAAACAAGCCATTAAAACGGATGTACATGCAAAACAGACTCTGGCCCACTGAAAAAGTCCAAATTGACAAACAATCAAGACTTTTCCACTGGAGCCGGTGAACAAGAAAGAAGATGAAGAAGACGAAGGTTCTGACGGAGCCAGACCCCCCCTTTTTTTTAAATGACCCTGGCTTCCACTTCATCGTAGCCCTAAGAAATAGTTCAGGGAAGTGTATGTCTTCTGCAAAAAAAAAAAAAAAAAAAAAAACAAGAGAAATAAACGATGAAGTGTAACAGGAATTATGTGAGGCTTGAGAGATGTGGTTTTTGTATAAATAAATTAAGTAAATTATGTCAAGTGAATTACAATTTCAACACCTTCATGCGCATTATGTATATATTAAAAAGTTAAAAAAAAAAAAAGTTAACGACCCTTTTCCATGCCTTTAAGGCGTGTTGGATATATAAGGCTAGACCAATATTTTAAAGATTAATTTACACTCGATGAATTCTGTGTCAGTGTCACGCCGGCCACCTTTACTTCCCAGGACTTAACCTAGCACCCAATTTAGGCTTGATTGAACTATGAGCAAAGGTCATTAAAAAAAAAAAATCCCGCTAATGCGGATTTGAACCAACAACCTTGGGGCCCGCAAGCGAACGAAGAACCGCTATACCTTGGTAGCTCCCACGGTTTCATAGACGAAGACGAAATCGTTTGAACAGTTAAAAAGAGTAAAGGTGAAGGTGAGAGGATCGACTTCATTGCATCGGGTATTATCCCATGTGGCTCGGTCTCTCTCCACAAAATAGCTAGCTGCCTGCCTAGAGCGTCACATAGAGCATGATCCCCGTAGCTCCGGCGACGATCCTTAGGGATCTCCGTTAAAATTGCACCCGTGACCACCTTCACCACGGAGACCTCCTTATAATGAGTAATCTAGATGTTGTTGGAGAAACCTTTTTCTTCTTCTCGTTCGCCGGCTGTAAACTCTGGCAGAAAAGTTCTGGTTGTTCGTCCATTTCTGGACTCTAGTCCTATTCCAGAAGCTGAGTATTGCGTGTACATCCGTTTCACAGATCTGAGTAATTTGCATGCAGACTGTTGGTTCCTTGCCTCTCAGGCAGATGTACTGCGACTTCGAAGGAAGCTCTCAAGTAGTCGACTCTTACGACATGCTTTTGGGTAGACAGTGGGTCTATTCTTGTTTTTCCCACATTGGGGCTCCGGAACCCACACGTGTGAGAGAAAACAATGCCCGAAGACAACTTATCACAAAGATCAGAATGAGACGGACATCGTTTTTGTGGTCATGGAAATAGGGAAACTGGAACATGTTGTGACCATTGGAAAGATTTGTGGAAAGAGAGATAACCATTGGAAAGATTTATGGAAAGAAAGGTAACCATTGGAAAGATTTGTGGAAAGAGAGATAACCATTGGAAAGATTTGTGGAAAGAGAGATAGAGGATCCCAACGCAAGAAGATTAATGACAGTCTATTGTCATGGCATGGAGGTGTTTCAGCTTATGAACGAATCAATTCTGTTGGAGATTTCAGATTGTGGAGAAACACGAGAGCCCACACCAGTCGGCATGACACTTGATGATGATGTACCTAGCGTGGGTGCATGGCTGACGCCTGTAACGTTAAGGAGAAAGTTTGTTGTCCTAAAGATAGAAGCGATGACATTGGAAGCTGCACAAAGAGCAAATAAATAGTTACGGGACCTTTTTCACACGACTAGCGCACATTCACTTTGGTAAAGAAACAAAAGATCACTTTTCTAGGCTTTCAGACGTTTTGGGCACATAGGACTAGACCTATATTTTATAGACCAATTGTCACTCAATGGATGATGTGGTCAACATCACATCAGTCGCATTTACTTCCCAGCCCTTTACCTGGTACCCTATTTTAGGTTGGGTCATTCAACCCGGGAGCCAAGGTCAATTTTAAAAAAGTCTGGCTCCGCCAGGACTTGGAACACACGACTTCCGATCCGCCGGCGAGCGTCTAGCCGCTACACGACAGCGACTCCCCAGTCTCTTTGCTGCTAGACACAGTTTGTGCTAGATCAACTCCCCGTATGAGTACCGAGGCCCTAGTTTGCTGCTAGACACAGTTAGTGCTGGATCAACTCCCCGCGTGAGTACCGAGGCCTCAGTTTGCTGCTAGACACAGTTAGTGCTAGATCAACTCCCCGCGTGAGTACTGAGGCCCCAGTTTGCTGCTAGACACAGTTAGTGCTGGATCAACTCCCCGCGTGAGTACCGAGGCCCCAGTTTGCTGCTAGACACAGTTAGTGCTGGATCAACTCCCCGCGTGAGTACCGAGGGCCCAGTTTGCTGCTAGACACAGTTAGTGCTGGATCAACTCCCCGCGTGAGTACCGAGGCCCCAGTTTGCTGCTAGACACAGTTTGTGCTAGATCAACTCCCCGCGTGAGTACCGAGGCCCCAGTTTGCTGCTAGACACAGTTAGTGCTGGATCAACTCCCCGCGTGAGTACCAAGGCCCCAGTTTGCTGCTAGACACAGTTTGTGCTAGATCAACTCCCCGTGTGAGTACCGAGGCCCCAGTTTGCTGCTAGACACAGTTTGTGATAGATCAACTCCCCTTGTGAGAACCGAGGCTCCAGTTTGAGGTTTAACAAAATGAATAAACCCGTTGCCAAGCATGTCGTTAGAGGTGACTAATTAGTGGTGTTTCCTAAAAGAAGAAATAGATCCATTGCTGACTAACAAGCATGTCGTAGAAGCGACTAATTATGGGTGCTTTCTTCAAAATCAGAGAGTATCTGCTTGAGAGGTGAGGAAAAACAGTTTACTTACAAATAAGCCAGAACTGCACCGCGGACATGCACGTAACTGTCAAGTTCTGGAACAAGATCAGAGTCCAGAAGTGAACTAACAGCCAGAACTATTCGCCGGAGTTTACAAATGGTGAACGCTAAGCAGAAGATAAAGAAGAAGAAGAAGAAGAAGAAGAAGAAGAAGAAGAAGAAGAAGAAGAAGAAGAAGAAGAAGAAGAAGAAGGAGAAGGAGAAGAAGAAGGGGGAGGAGGAGGAGAAGGAGGAGGAGGAGGAAAAGAAAAAGAAAAAGAAGAAGAAGACGAAGAAGGAAAAGAAGAAGAAGAAGAAGAAGAAGAAAAAGAAGAAGAAGAAGGAGGAGAAGAAGGAGGAGAAGAAGGATAAGGAGAAGAAAAAGAAGAAGAAGAAGAAAAAGAAGAAGAAGAAGGAAAAGAAGAAGAAGAAGGAGGAGAAGAAGGAGGAGAAGGATAAGGAGAAGAAGAAGAAGAAGAAGAAGAAGAAGAAGAAGAAGAAGAAGAAGAAGAAGAAGAAGAAGAAGAAGAAGAAGAAGAAGAAGAAGAAGAAGAAGAAGAAGAAGAAGAAGAAGAAGAAGAAGAAGAAGAAGAAGAAGAAGAAGAAGAAAGAAGAAGAAGAAGAAGAAGAAGAAGAAGAAGAAGAAGAAGAAGAAGAAGAAGAAGAAGAAGAAGAAAAAGATAATCATAATGTATAAAATATACCTAGGATATTATTAGTCTGTTTAAAAATATATTAACACCTCAGATGTAATCCTTTGTTCTTGAGATAAACTGTTTAATCTCTACCTGTAGTTTTCTAGAATCTATAGCTATCTATTCTCAGCATGTTTTCTATTGACATAACTTGATTACACAATGTGACATAATTAATGTCAGTTTAGCCAACCGAAGAGATGGTTACCTTTTCATGTCTTGTCAAGCGCCATGCTAAGAATTTTTGTTTCTTTGTAAGTCTGTTTTTCTAATAAATAGAAGCAATTTATTGTCAACAGCTAGCAGAGGAGGAAACGTGGGAGTGATACACTATATTGAGTCACAAGATGACTACGAGTGGGTGCTCATGGAAGGACCCCATGCTCCTTATGTTGCCGTTATGAAGTCAGTAGACTTCAATCTGTAAGTATATACCCTTGTACAACTGAAGACATGGGACGAAAGTTAAAGCAATGTTGAACATGAAATAGGATGATTTCAAAGGAGCGGTGTAAATTTAAGAGAAATGTTTGGGCGACCACTAGCAACATCAGGTAAAGAAGATGGCGCTAAATTGGATACAACCCTGAGAAAAAAGCCAGCAGAGAATCACCCAAAAAATGCACTAAAATGTGAAATAAAAAGGGACTGAACAGCGAAGATTACCCCCCCCCCCCCCAAAAAAAAAGCACTCACCCTAAAACCAACGTTGACAAGAGAGAGGTCAAAGGCGCTCTGCTGGATTTCATCCAAGGGTTAGTTCGACGTTAGTCTCCGCAAATAGAGTAGGTCACTTTTCTTTCTCACGTGTGTTGGGCTGGTCACTTTCATGAAGGTTACGGGTGTGTCCCGCTCTGTTTGTTTAATTTATGCGATGTCTTGCATTTACGTTTTTATTCTGAGAAAGAGAATGCATGTGACATAGGTTGCAGCAATCTCTGTGGGAAGAGAGGGGAGGGGGGGGGGTTGTGTTAGACCCAGTTGCTCCATGTTTTTGGAGTGTTGAAAGCGCCGGCATGCTGAAATATACAACACGCGATATCAACGGTATTGCGGAACACCCCCGTAACCTTGTGCGAAAGTACGGGGCTCATAAACAACCAATCAAAAGTAAGCTAGTGTGTATATGGGCGGGCTCTAGGGAGACTAACGTCGTACTAACTCTTCTACTTTGCGCACGGTTTCGTATGCCCAGGTCAGACTGACGGGTGGGCTGTCTTTATTTTATGCTGTTGTAGTTGCGCCCTGTAGTGTCTTGTTCTTAGACGGAAAATTATTGTATGTTGCTTTCTGTTGAGTCTGCTGATTGGGTCTTGTGAATGTTTACTGCTGGTTTGTTCTCTCCACAATTCCCTGAGTTCGCCCTCGATAAATGTTTTGAATTTTGGTAATGACAATGAATGGGTGTGTTGTTTCACCTTTGTTTCATTTTTTTGGGGGGCAGTCTGTCGGCTAATTCCTTTCCTGGCATGCCGCAGTGAACCTGGATCCACTGGAGAACGATTTGATGTTTTCTCAGAGTTTGTTTAGCTGGCAGGTCAGTTCTTTATTCATGTTGTCCAGCGGATCTCTGTGATTCGCTTGGAGGACTGACATGCAGTCACACAGGAAAACAATTTTGCTGTTTTTTTTTAAAATCTGTCCTTCCTTAAGCACTTTGTATCAGTAATTGCTTGCTGCTCTGCTCTGAAGTTTGTTGAGAATTTAACGGAGGCACATGATGTTTCCCTAGTGGTCCCATCTTGCAGCATGATGAATGTTTTTCTTTTCTTTTTGCTCTGTCATATGATCCATCTGTGTATATTTGTGTCCATTCAGGTTTGGGTAAGAGTTATAGATATTAGGGCTGTACCGAATAGTGATTTTCACTATTCGGCTGAATACGAATAACAAGACCAACTATTCGGGCCGAATACGAATTCGAATACGAATAGTGTATAATGTATAACAAATATCTAAAAATAAAAAAAAAAAAAAAAAACATGCATAATATCAAATGAATGCTGAACTTTTACTTCACATAAAGTAGCACAGAATAGTCATCTTCTTCTTTAGCCTTCTGAGCCCTTGAGGTTTACTGCTGCAGATATCACTCGTCTCCATTCATCTCTCTGGCTGGCCTTCTCTTCACAGTTTGTGACACCAGTTGTTTGCAGGTCTGGCTGGACATTATCTCTCGAACTTCTTTTTTGTCTGCCTCGTGGTCTACGCCCATTCCTCTCTCAGGTGTATACAGTTTTACTTCTCTATCATCTGACAATCTTTCAATATGCCCCAACTATTTTAGTCTGTTATCTCTCATTATGCCAGTGATCAATAGTGATTTAAACAGATTAGGTGTTACGTTGTTGCTTCTCACTCTCCATTCCCCGCTGTTAGCATCTTTGATGGGTATTAGGCTGGACATTATCTCTCGAACTTCTTTTTTTGTCTGCCTCGTGGTCTATGCCCATTCCTCTCTCAGGTGTATACAGTTTTACTTCTCTATCATCTGACAATCTTTCAATATGCCCCAACCATTTTAGTCTGTTAGCTCTCATGATGCCAGTGATCAATGGTGATTTAAACAGATTAAGTGTTAATTTGTTGCTTCTCCCTCTCCATTCTCCGCTGTTAGCATCTTTGATAGGTCCAAAGATTTGTCGCAAGACTGTTTTCGAAAAACCTGCAAAAAGGCCTCATCTCTTTTATTTCTGCTTCAAGTTTCAGAGCCATATAAAACGACTGGTCTTATCAACGTTTTATATATTTTGATCTTGGTGTTGCGAGACAGCACTTTGACTTTAGCAGATGTTGAAGGGCATAGTATACTTTATTTCTAGATTTTATATCTTTTCTCAGCATGTTGGAGTTTGCACCCAAGTACTTATATGTTTCCGTTTGTTTGATTTTCATATTATCTATTTGGATGTGGGTGAAGTTTGTATTCTTTCCATGTCTAGTTAGTATTCGTACAGAATAGTAAACATTTAAAAACATTTTATGTTTTGCATCCTTCAGTCAGTCTGTGGTTACTAATAACTAGGAATGAAAGAATCTTAAGAATTATAACAAGTAACTAAACTTGGATATTTGTCACTGACAGCTTAGTTAATGCATGAAACCTGTATTAGCTTTCAACAAAACCAATCGTTCCATGTTGTCAGTATTAAGGCCGTGCATGCAGAAGCCGGTGTAAGGTAACTACTATTCGTATTCGGCCCGACCGCAACTATTCGGCCGAATACCGAAAGTCAATAGGTCCCCTATTCGGCCCCGAAGCGAATACGAAGCAAATATTCGGTACAGCCCTAATAGATATGTTCAAGGATCTTTGCATGCAGTACTACTAGTTCACAAACTTCAGCCTTTCTGTCTATACTTGGGATTGTTGTTGTGGCTGTATAGTAAGGTTATAGGTCTATGTTGAATGGATGGACCATTCCCCACGTTTAAGGGTCTTTAGAAAAGATATAACTGTTTTGGAGCAGTATATTTTGACAGATGTTGGAAGCTTTGTATTTTAGTCGGTTTTTACCCCGGTGTTTTGTTGTTTGCTATTCTGTTCATGGAGATGCTGTTTATGCATTTACATATTTTTGTCTGGGAAAGCACACCTGCACCCTAACTTGTTCCAGTAAGTTTCTTCAAGTCTGAGCCGTAGGGTAGCTTTTCTTTGGTTGTCTTCAATGTGGGGACCCACTGTTAGCCTTCTGTCGAATTTGACTCACAAATATTTTTTTGTTTTTTTTTTGTTCTTTATAATGATGTTGCTGTCTAGGTACAAATCAACTTGTTTTAGCCTGTTGGAAAGAGAGCCGAGACAGCTTTGTTCTGGATTTATTATTGACTCCCCACAAGTTTGTTCATTTTTGAAGTATTTTTATAACTGTGTTGATTTCACAATGGTGTGGTGCGCTCACCGCTTAAGATGCGAAATTGGTTTGAGTGAGAAGACCCTTTGCTTCTTCCCTCTTGGTGTTACTTCTTGCCAGTCAAGGAATGGGGCAGCTGGAATCTTACTTCTACTCAAACCCCACCTGTCTGGACAATTGACCAATGTGACCAGTCTCCGTGAACAACTGAGTTCTTGAGCAGAGGTAAGTAATGAAGTGGTCACCTCAGAGATCAGCGGTCAGAGACCTAAATATTAGCGCCTTCCGCAGCCAGCAGGCGTACGGATACAAGGAGTTCAAACCACGCAGCCGCCGGGCGTATTTCCTAGACAAGAGGAAAAACTACACAAGGGGCCTAATCCTAATTGAGGAGTACAATAATAATGTGCCTGGTTGTGAAGAAAAAAAATAATTACCATTATACGTAATGTATAAACAAATAATTTTAAAGACAATATCAATTACTTTACTTAGCTTTTTTACAAACGTATTGTAACATCTCTCTACAAATTGGGAAGGGAGAGGGCAGTCTCATGTGGCCTGAGCCCCGCAATTTCAGTGCCCTTGCACATTGGCACACCATAGGTTGCCTGGTACCCTTTCATTTGGTTGACTATCGTTCCGTTGTCTCGTGGAGATAGTTTTTTTTTTTTTTTAAATATTTGGGCGCTTCCTTCTTAATACCGGGAGTCACCGTGGCGGCGCGGCTACATGCACGCCTGCGGATCGGAAGGTCGTTGGCTCGCTCCCTAGCAAAGCCGGACTTTTTTCAAAAATGACCTTGGCTCCCAGGTCGACCCAGCCTGAGTGGGTACCGGGTGCAGTGCCGGGAAGTATAGGCGACCGGCGTGATGCTGACCACATCACACATCTTGTGCCGATTGGTCTATAAAAATATAGGTCTAGCCCTATATGCCTCCTACGCTTAAAGGCGTGGAAAATGGTCCTTTACTTTACTTCTTAATACTCCATTGAATCTCGGTACTCTGCTGTGTTCTTTTGCTACCAAATCTTCTAGTTCTTATTGTTTCTTGTTGCTTTGTTGTCACTTTGTGCTCTGTTGTCTCTTCCTGTCCTGTTGTCTCTTGGTGTCCTATTATCTCTTACTGCCTCGTTGTCTTTTGAGCGTCCCAGGCATGAAGTTATTTTGCTTACTGTTTCGCATACTTTTGGGTCAGACAGTATTAGATCTTTCTCTGTCTTCATTTCTCTCTCGTTATCAGAATCTGTTGGCCTTTCATATTTTCTCTTCCTCTCCCCTCGCACCCTGCCTCGATTTCTCTATCTCTGCCTCTCTAATGTTCACAATCTGCCTTAGTCTATCTCTTCGTCATCTGTATCGGCTTGTATGTGTATGTGTTTTGTTTGGGATGTCCCGTTTTTCAGCTCAACATATTAATGGAATGTCCCGTTATGGTCACAAGATACTGTAGTCAGCATAGACATGCCATGTTCATAATTGACAGAACAGTGAGCCACTCAGGAGTCTGTCCATAACAGACACATCTTGTGCTCAACAGGAGCAGCCTGGAGCGCCTCCACAACTCCCCTCGCGTCACTGGGATCCTCATTATACGCCCGACAAACATGTCAGACGATTCCTCCTACCCCCAGCTTGGCTACTCCAGTGTGGACACTTGTCCCAACGACAGGTATGGTAAGTTGAAGGGAAGAGAGGAGACACTTGTCCCAACGACAGGTATGGTAAGTTGAAGGGAAGAGTGGAGATACTTGTCCCAACGACATGTATGGTAAGTTGAAGGAAAGAGAGGAGACACTTGTCCCAACGACAGGTATGGTAAGTTGAAGGGAAGAGTGGAGATACTTGTCTCAACGACAGGTATGGTAAGATGAAGGGAAAAGGGAAGACACTTGTCCCAACGACAGGTATGGTAAGTTGAAGGGAAGAAGGGAGAAACTTGTCCCAACGACAGGTATGGTAAGTTGAAAGGAAGTGGAGAGACACTAGTCTCAGCGAGAGGTATTGTAAGTTGAAGGAAGGAATGAAGACACTTGTCCCAACGACATGTATGGTAAGTTGAAGGGAAAGAGGGGAGTCACTTGTCCCAACGACATGTATGGTAAGTTAAGGGGAAGAAGGGAGACACATGTCCCAACGTTATGTATGGTAAGTTAAGGGGAAGAGGGGAGACACTTGTCCCAACGACTCGTATGGTAAGTTGAAGGAAAGAGTGGAGACACCTGTCCCAACGACTCGTATGGTAAGGTAAAGGGAAGAGGGGAGACACTTGTCCCAACGACACGTATGGTAATTTGAAGTGAAGAGTGGAGACACTTGTCCCAACGACACGTATGGTAAGTAGAAGGAAAGAGCGGAGTATCTCTCTAGAACAGTGGTTGTCAACTCTTTTGCAGGTAGTGCCCTCTGGATATATGACAAGACACCCGACTCACCTGCCATAATTTAAAAAGAAAAAATGCGATTAAAAAGAAGATTAAAAAACATTTTTTTTTTAGTAAAACATCCAAGTAAATCAAAACGTCAAACTGAAAAAGACAAAAACAAACAAACCCAACAACTGGTAATTTAGAGCCCAAATATTAGTGTGAAAGTTGACACTGTTTTGTTTCTTAGATATCTGTTATTCCTGGTCTGATTTTGGACAGGGCACAACGGAGATCACTCACCACATGAAGCTGGCAGTGATGTTTTCTGTTTCTTCTTCTACTTAAAGTCCATGCCATGTGGCGTTGGTAGTCATGTCTATCCACAACCTTCTGTCTCGAGCACTTTCAATCAACTCTGACACAGATGATCTTCCATGCCATGATATTAAACCGTCTAGCATCTGTACTCTAAGTCTTCCTCGGCCTCTCCTCCCTACCAACTTTCATAATGTCCTGATGTACTCCAGTTTTCTCCTTCTCACCACATGACCAACGAATGTAGATTGTCTCTTTCTGATGTGGACAATCAGTTTTCTTCTGAGTCAGTTTAGTTCAAGATGTCTTCATTACTCTTATATGCCAAGGGTATTCTCATCATTCGTCTGTAAAACCACATCTCAGCAGATTCCAAAAAAGTTTTCACTACTTTACTAATCGTCCACGATTCACAACTATAAATCAGTGTAGGATTTACATAGCTTTTAATAAATATCTTTTTCTTGTCAACTGACAAAGCAAGATTGTTTAACATATTCTTCATTTTGTAAAATGATACTTTTGCTTGAGCTATTCGACATTTAACTTCCTTAATACACCTTCCGTCTGATTCTATAAGGGTGCCCAAGTACTGAAACATAAAAATTTGTAGTTTAACAGAGTAGAAATGCACTAAATTTCAAAATTAACTGACGACTCCTGACACCCTCCCCCCTTTTCCATGACCGAAACTTCCTTGCGCACCATAGGTTGAAAACCACTGTTCTCTAAAAATTTTTTGTTTACACTAATAACTTTTCCAGCAGAGACATTTGTTTAAACCACTAGTATTATCACAGCACGGAAAGATTTGAAGCATGCCTTTTTTCCCTCCTCCTTATTCTTTCTTAGCGTCACTGGCTGTAAACTCCGATGTTCGTCCTTTTCTGGCCATTGGTGTTGTTTCAGAATTTGACCTTTATATGCATATCGGTTTTACAGATCTGATATATTTGCTTGCAGACGGTTGGTTCCTCGTTTCTTACGCAGGTGCGCTATGTCTTCTTGCTTCTAGGAGATTTTTGTTAGGGCAATATCCTGTTTCTCTACCTCCCAATTTGCCCCTCGCACTCTAATAGGGCCCTGAAGTCCTACGGGGTTCCGTTTTGTCTACAAGCTTCCAGCGCCACTCGAAACTCGCGTGAAAGGCATGGTGAGTGGTTCACCTGATGACACCAGGCCAACAAAAGTAGGGAGACTCTTACATACACACGCACACCACACAACGGTAGCCATGCAGAATGATACACTTTATAATAAAAACTCCCACCATAAAATGGTGGGATCGTGTTATGTCCACTTCCTCCTACACCCCCAGGAATGTACAGCAAATCATCTTATGGACGATGTCGGAAGGCGCTCTGGAACCGCAGCGGCACCTCAGCTCGCTTTCATGACCTGAACATGCCGGTGTTTGAGCTGTCAGAACAGGAAGACGTGGACGCCGTGCTACACAAGGTTTGTGGGCTGTGTTTCCGTGTGTTTCTTTATTTCTCACACGATCTCTTTTGATTTTGTTTGCAGCCGGTACGTGAGAATTGCTACTAACAATATGATCCATCTGTTCATGACACCATTAGGTTAGTTTAGTTGCTTATCCTTTACAGAACGTTGCAGAACCAACCCCAACAGCCTCTGGCTGTTGTGTGGGTTCTCTAGGCAAATTTACATCCAGTAGTTTGCCATTGTTTTCTGGACGGTCAGCCCCCAGATACGACTGTCGAAACCAACGCAAGGTGGATGGCCCACAGCTGGGATTGAACACGGCACCCCGGCATTACGAAGCGTTCGAATCGTCTTAGCCACAGAGCCGACCATGACACCACACGGTGGTAAATTCGTCGCCGCCGCTTATCACTGTACTATCGTCGCCAGTCGAGACAGTATGTGGGTCTGTCTCCCGTGATCGCCTCAACACTGCAAGAGTTCTTTTCATGGCTCTTGGTGGTGTGCAAGGCTAAGCCATTTTATATGGCCTACATAACGTAGTCACAATTATAACCTGAAGCTCCCGCTTCCGGAATGCTGGCTATAATTTACAAAATGCAATAATGCATACATTCATCATGTATACACATATCTTATATGCTCATACGTAAACAGAAACAAGCACACTCATACATACACAAACACAAGAACCTATTCATACACAGTCACCCATAAAACACTAACACCCATAAATGGACATGCACCAATCATTTAATATCACCCATACATACACAATTACCCATTCAAACACGATCACCCACGCATACACAATCATCCATACATACGCAATCACAAATTCATACACGTTCATTCATGCCTACAAACTCAACTATGACTGCACAGTCACCCCATATATGTGTGTGTGTGTGTGTGTGTGTATATATATATATATATATATATATATATATATATATATATATATATACACACACACACCCACACACAACAAACACCCATACACACACTCATCCATTCATATACAATCACTCATGTATACACAATCACCCATGCACACACTATCACCCATACATACGCAATCACCAATACATTTACAATAAATCACCTATACATTCTCATACGCCCTTACATACACATTCGCATGTACACAAACGAATACCCAAACATATACAAATACCTTTACATTTACAGAAGCTCATACATACACAAACTCATACATATCCATTTATGCACAGACGTCTGTACACGCATACATACAGAAAACCTACTATGTGTGCCCACGTGCTAATACATACACAAGTACACATCCATATACATACATGCATGCACTACCACACATGCATACACATAGTTACACTCACACATGCATCAAAACTCGTATATAAACACCCAAGCCTCCCCACTTGTGAATACACGACGTTAATGCATACCCACACATACATACAACCACTTATGTATATATATCCAAGAATGCACGCATACACAGACACAATAATACATATATTCGCTTATACATATCCATACATACACAAAAACCCATACATGCACATGGACCTTATCATACACAGGCACCAAATCATAAACATTCACACACACATACACAAAAACCCATGTATAACCAACCATTCTTACATACCCATACATACACAAACACCCATGTATCCCAAATCATTCTTACATACACAAGCACCCATGTATCCCCAACCATTCTTACATACCCAAACATGCACAAACCCCCATGTATCCCCAACCATTCTCACATAACTATACATACACAAACACCCGTGTATCCTCAACCATTCTTACATAACCATACATACACAAACAGCCCTGTATCCCCAACCATTTTTACATACATATACATACACAAACCCCCATGTATCCCCAACCATTCTTACATACCCAAACATACACAAACCCCCATGTATCCCCAACCATTCTTACATAACCATACATACACAAACAGCCATGTATCCCCAACCATTCTTACATACCCATGCATACACAAACAGCCATGTATCCCCAACCATTCTTACATACCCACACATACACGAACACCCATGTATCCCTAACTATTCTTACATACCCAAACATACACAAACACCCATGTATCCCCAATAATTCTTACATACCCAGACATACACAAACACCCATGTATCCCCAACCATTCTTACATACCCACACATACACCAACACCCATGTATCCCTAAACATTCTTACATACCCACACATACACCAACACCCATGTATCCCTAACTATTCTTACATACCCAAACATACACAAACACCCATGTATTCCCAATAATTCTTACATACCCAGACATACACAAACACCCATGTATCCCCAACCATTCTTACATACCCATACACACACAAACACCCACGTATCCCTAACAATTCTTACATACCCAGACATACACAAACACCCATGTATCCCCAATAATTCTTACATACCCATACATACACAAACACCCATGTATCCCCAACCATTCTTACATACCCAAACATACACATAAACCCATGTATCGCGAATCATTCTTACATTACCATACATACACAAACACCCATGTATCCCCAACCATTCTTACATAACCGTACATACACAAACACCCATGTATCCCTAACAATTCTTACATACCCATACATACACAAACACCCATGTATTCCCAACCATTCTTACATACCCAAACATACACAAACCCCAATGTATCCCCAACCATTCTTACATAACTATACATACACAAACACCCGTGTATCCTCAACCATTCTTACATAACCATACATACACAAACAGCCCTGTATCCCCAACCATTTTTACATACATATACATACACAAACCCCCATGTATCCCCAACCATTCTTACATACCCAAACATACACAAACCCCCATGTATCCCCAACCATTCTTACATAACCATACATACACAAACAGCCATGTATCCCCAACCATTCTTACATACCCATGCATACACAAACAGCCATGTATCCCCAACCATTCTTACATACCCACACATACACCAACACCCATGTATCCCTAACTATTCTTACATACCCAAACATACACAAACACCCATGTATCCCCAATAATTCTTACATACCCAGACATACACAAACACTCATGTATCCCCAACCATTCTTACATACCCACACATACACCAACACCCATGTATCCCTAAACATTCTTACATACCCACACATACACCAACACCCATGTATCCCTAACTATTCTTACATACCCAAACATACACAAACACCCATGTATCCCCAATAATTCTTACATACCCAGACATACACAAACACCCATGTATCCCCAACCATTCTTACATACCCATACACACACAAACACCCATGTATCCCTAACAATTCTTACATACCCAGACATACACAAACACCCATGTATCCCCAATAATTCTTACATACCCATACATACACAAACACCCATGTATCCCCAACCATTCTTACATACCCAAACATACACAAAAACCCATGTATCGCCAATCATTCTTACATTACCATACATACACAAACACCCATGTATCCCCAACCATTCTTACATAACCGTACATACACAAACACCCATGTATCCCTAACTATTCTTACATACCCATACATACACAAACACCCATGTATTCCCAACCATTCTTACATACCCATACATACACAAACACCCATGTATCCCTAACAATTCTTACATACCCATACATACACAGACACCCACGTATCCCCAACAATTCTTACATACCCATACATACACAAACACCCATGTATCCCCAACCATTCTTACATACCCAAACATACACAAAAACTCATGTATCCCCAACCATTCTTACATAACAGTACATACACAAACACCCATACATCATCAGTCATCCTTACACACTCATACATATAGAATCAACCCTTCACACACACACACTTATACATAAAATATACCCAAACGTCTGCACCTTCCGATACATAAACAGACACCCATGTATAATCACACTTTGCATACTCATTCCTGTTATAATGCCCATACAGACAGACACACACACACATAAGCACATTCAACACACTCATAAATCCAAATCACATATACACTCATCCGTGTATGTCGCACACGATCACACCACACACGCCTTATCTATATATAAAATGATAAGGAATTATGAATGTTTAACTACATCTGTGGTGGCATATAATCACCAATTAGCACGAACTGAAAATAGTTTGTTAAATGAGTGTAAACTCCTTTTATTTTTCAGATTGAGTGGGAGATGATTCCATAAATTAGCAGCAGAATATAATAAAACTTGATTGATATAAAACTATTCTAGGTTTCGGCAAATGTAATAAATGTAGTCGCTTGCTGTTCTTAAGGTTGGCGTGAATCAATCGGAAAAAGATAATCTGGAATGTTCTTAGCTAACATTTTATGAATAAATTTGGCTCTGTTAAAAATTTACCGTTTACTGAATGATTGAAGTTTTAGATGACCAAAGAGATCGTTTTTATCGATGTGTTTTCTAATTTGTGTGGAACACAGCCGTCTTACAATAGATTCAGAGTAACCATCACAGACTGGAACAATAGTCGATGTGGGCTTGGATCTAGAATACTTAAAATAATTTTCGTGTATTTTCATCCAGAAAGTGCTAAACTTTGCCCAGTTGATAAACTTTCTATGCTACTTTCTTGGTTAGGCATGAACTTAAAAACGCCAAGTTATATTGCTGTCCATTATAAGACCAAATATTGTGTGTTCAGTAACATCAATAGCAGGTAATTTTTCAATATAGAGCTCAAGTGGTGATTTGTGCAAGACTAATATTGGTAACTTGTGTCTGGTTGTTATTACCATAGATTACATTTTATTTATGTCGACTTGCATTTGCTTAGCATTACTCCATTTATTAAGCTTAGCCAATTCTTCTGTAAGGAACGAACCTACTCAGTATAGTTTTATAAGTGCATATTGTACAGTCGTCTGCAAATAGGTCACATGTAATGCTGAGTTGTAATAGAAGGTCGTTAATATACATAGCAAAAAGTAACGGTCCTTGTACTGAGCCGTGCATATACGCCAATATTTAGTTGTGTGGAAATGAAAAGGCAGTTCTCCAAGGAAACTACCTGCCGTCGATCAGACAAAAATGATCTAATTTTATTAAATTGGTGTAAACTTTTAAGGTGATTAATTTGCTAATTAAAATATAATGATCAGCCATATCAGTCTTTTTTTTTTTTTTAAATCTACGAAGACTGCTCCATACATTTTGCCATGTTTTAATGTGAACATGTTATTTGTCTGCCATTTTTGTCAAAGCAGTATAAAAAGAGTAATTAGGTCTCAACCCTGACTGACTAGATTAGATTGCTGTTATTTAAAATGTTAAAATATTATGTTATATATGTGTTTCTCTACGTGTTTTGTAAGCGATGATAATAAGGAAATTAGTCTATAATTACTGACAGAACTATTATCAGCTGAGACATACTTGTAGAGGATACACTTTTGCAGTTTTAAATATGGAAGGAAAGTAATTCTTGGCAAGACACTGATTATACAGGAAAGTAAAGATTCGCTTATCACTGGCGCAGCACATGGAGGAATTCAATTACTGGCACCTTTCAAGCCAGATTAATTTGTATGAGACTGGAGAGCAGGGGCTTTACTAACCCTCCCCACGCCCCCATCACAAACATTCTTAAAGGATAGGTGCGTGGGGGGGGGGGGGGGTGGGAGGTGGGAAAGCTTAGCTGACCACCTCAACCATGTGTGTGTGTGTGTGTGTGTGTATATATAAATAAATAAATAAATATATATATATATATATATATATATATATATATATATATATATATATATATATATATACTAGCTATACCCAGCCACGAGTTGCTGTGGCCCAAAATGGTAAACATGAAAAGAAAGAAAATAGAATGCGCGCCTGTCTAATATGGCTACAGAGATAGTCTGATATGTCAACTCTAGAACACGCAATATATCAGTGAATGTCGATATTAGTGGTCGAATAAAGTGCACTGTTAGAGAGAGAGAGAAAAAAAAAGATTATTTGTTTATCGAGGCTAAAGCATATGTTGTGCTTAAACAGATAAAAGTAAAGCTGACTGCTATTTCTCTAACTGACCAACAAACTGGCACCCCCCTTCCCCCCAAAAAATGACAATAGCTGAGGAAGCTGTATTAAAATATACTTACGTAAGAAATGAGAACTGTAAAATAAAGTTAGAAGCTCTCTGAGCTAACAGTGTCTGCCATAACTCCCCCTCCCTCTCCTCCCCAATAATATCTTTCTCTCAGTATGATTTAACAATTATCACGTGGCGACATTGTTAAAATAAAAATAGTTAAGAAATGAGAACTTTAAAATAATATTTCAAGCTCTCTCAGTTAACAGTGAATGGCATAACCCCCCCACCCCCCTCAACACCCCCCTTCCCCCGGACAATCAAATCATCCTCTACGAAGTATGGGGAAGTCATCGCCTGACGAAATATTGTTGTTAAATTGAGCTTGGCATCCGTGTCCACCCAGACAAAAATGGGTAGCATTAATCTGTACTGAGAAGTAATCACAAAACGGTCACTATTGACTGTACAGGTCGTTGTAGTCAGAGGAGTTGGCGCCTCATGCTGTCGCCACGGACTGTTTAGTTTAAGTGTGCCCCCGACATAAAACTCCGTCACCTAACCAGGGGTGGTATACTCACAAATAGCTGAAATAAAAACCCGCACTCGTCATCTCTCCCTCTACGAACGGACGATTTTTAATTAACCTTGGCATCCGTGTCGACCCAAACCAAACTGGACAGTAAGCCGTCTTAGTTAACAGTTTCTGTCATCAACGAATAGTTTGTGATCGAATGAATCGTCGGGGGGAGGCTAACTTGGACTTTACTGAAATCGGATGTCTTTGGGCGTAAGGCACAGATATCGCAACCTAGCTGTAAACCACAACACAACGTGCCAACAGCCCCCTTAGGGAAAAAAGAAAAATTAGCAACCAGCGGGGATTCAAACACCGGTCATCCGCGTGAAGGGCGGTATAGTTACAACTCTACTACCGAAGACTGAAGACTTTAGCGGGGAATCGAACGCCGATCGCGTGAAAGGCGAAATGCTTACAACTAACTAAGCTAACAACTATTCAAGCTTTTAGTAGAAATGAAATTATATAATAATGCGAAGTTCGGTGTTACACACAGAGTCAAAGGTGGCCAACAACTAAAAACAAATCCGGGCCGGCAATGAAACCACTAATGAAATGATCGTTGCTGGAGCTACGTCATTCGTGATTTGTGCAAAACTCATACATACAAACACGCGCGGAGTCTAAGGCAACGTTGTGTTAAAATTTAAAGCGATTGGTAAAGAAATGTTGGAGATTGATCCTGGGGAAAAAGGCTTCTATCGGCAGCCCTGCTCAGCAGTCGAAGGTGGCCAATCAACTAAAAACAAATCTGGGCCGGCAACGAAACAAATAATGATTTGACCTTTGCTGGAGCTACATCGTTCGTGTTTTATGCGATTTTATGACAAAAACACATGCTTTGAGTGAAAGGCAACGTTGTGTGAAAAATTGAAAGCAATCGGTTCAGCAGTGTCCGAGTCTATATTTGAGAAACTCGGAAAATTAACACACACACACACACGCCCGCACGCACGCACGCACGCACACACACACACACACACACACATATATATATATATACATAATATATACATATATACATATATATATATATATATATATATATATATATATATATATATATATATATATATATATATATATATATATATATATATATATATATTTAACTGAAGTTGTTGTTTATTCATTTTATATCATTTCAAATGTACTATTTTATTTGCTTGCCATTCAGTATATTATTATTATTATTGTTATTATTATTATTGTTATTATTATTATTCTGTGGTTTAGCAAAGAGGGCGCAGGTGACTTGAGTCCACACCCTCTGTTTTAAGGACAATGTGTGTAAGAAAGATCAAGGATCCCCCACCCCATTTTCTCACCCTTTTTCCCAAAACACACACGCACGCGCGCACACATACACACACACACATGCTGTAACTGGTATCGGCCCCCTACTTTTGTTGACATTAACCCTGTGCTATGTCTGCAGTGTTTTTGTTAAAGTTACCCCTATTCTATGTCTGCAGTATTTTTTGTGGAAGTTAAGCCTGTGATGTTTCAGCAGTGTTTTTGTGGAAGTTAACACTGTGCTGTGACTGCAGTATTTTTGTGGAAGTTAACCCTGTACTATGTCTGCAGTGGTTTTGTGGAAGTTAATCCTGTACTGTGACTGCAGTGTTTTTTGTGGAAGTTAACCATGTGATATATTGGCAATGTTTTTGGAGAAGTTAACCTGTGATATGTCTGCAGTGTTTTTGTGGAAGTTAACCCTGTACTATGTCTGCTATGTTTTTGTGGAAGTTAACCCTGTTCTATGTCTGCAGTGTTTTTGGGGAAGTTAACACTGTGCTATGTCTGCAGTGTTTTTGTGGAAGTTAACCATGTGCTATATCTGCAATGTTTTTGTGGAAGCTAACCCTGTACTATGTCTGCAGTGTTTTTGGGGAAGTTAAACCGCTGCTATATCTGCAGTGTTTTTGTGGAAGTTAACCCCGTGCTATATCTGCAGTGTTTTTTTGGAAGTTAACCCTGTGAAATGTCTGCAGTGTTTTTGGGGAAGTTAACCCTGTGCTATGTCTGCAGTATTTTTAAGGAAGTTAACCCTGTGCTATGTCTGCAGTGTTTTTATGCATTTAACGCCAAATCCACGTCGTACCCGGCTTGTGCTGCCGAACTGGTGACCAGAATGGACGCAGCCGTGGACGCGGTGACGTGCATACGCCGGTCGCATCGAACTCAGATTGGCCTGATGGAGCCTCAGACATTCTGTGACCCGCTGGGCGACAGCAACGTCGTGGCCACCATGAAAGCGGTTCCGGCCAACGAGACGCGTTACCACAGGTCAGTGGTGATGGCGGTAACTAGGGTAAGTGTATGGTTGTCGTTGTCGTGTTTAGTGTTGTTGTTCTGGTTGATCTGTCTTCACCTAGCTGAGCTATATTGTCCTTATTGATATCACCCCGGCTGAAATATGTTGTCCTGGTTCATGTTGTTCTAGTTGACGTTGTCATGGTTAATGTGTTCCCGACAAAGTGATGTTGTTCTGGTTGTTGTTGTTCTTGTTGCACTATGTTGTCCGGTTGATGTTTTCCTGGTTTAGCTGTATTGTCTTTGGCAGATATTTTCCCGGCTGAAATATGCTGTCCTAGTTGATGTTGTCCTGGTTGATATTGTCCTGGCTGATGTTATCCTGGTTGATGTTTTTTTTTCTGTTGAGCAATGATGGCCTTGTTTAAATTGTTTTGATTTATGTTCTCCTGGTCAAGCTATGTTGTCCTGGATGATGTTCGCCTGGCTGATTTTGTTATCCTGGTTTAAGAAGTAGAAAAGGATGATGATGATGATAAAGGAGGACAAGAAGAAGATGAAGAAGAAGAAGAAGAAGAAGAAGAAGAAGAAGAAGAAGAAGAAGAATAAGAAGAAGCAGAAGAAGAAAAAGGAGAAGAAGAAGAAGAAAAAGAAGAAGAAGAAGAAGAAGAAGAAGAAGAAGAAGAAGAAGAAGAAGAAGAAGAAGAAGAAGAAGAAGAAGAAGAAGAAGAAGAAGAAGAAGAAGAAGAAAAGAAGAAAACGAAGAAAAAAAAATACAAAATGGATAATAATAATAATAATAATTATACTAATAACAACGATAAGCAGAAGGAGGAGGCGAAGAGAAGAACGACTATTGTCCAAATGCTACCCTGACCAATGATAGAGTAAATGTCTGTTCCTGCGTCTACTAGCTGGATGCCACTTCCATCTTCCAAAACACCGAGAACGCCGCCGACACCGCGGTGACTGGCATTGTGACGCTACTGGCTACAGCCGAGGCCCTGTGGAAGGCCCGAGATGTCATCAAGAACAACAGCATGGCCAAAGACATCATGTTCGTCTTCTTCCAGGGAGTAAGTTTAAAACCTGTCGTTTCTGCCTATGGTTCACTACTCCTAGAGCCGCGTAGGACTAGGGAGCGATAACCTGAAAGTGGAAGCTGCGTGGAGGCTGTGTACTGTGCTGCGCTTCTTCGGACTCAGAAGACAGTTTAAGGCTCTAGTCCAGTCGTCACGGTCTGTGCAGGTTAGGATTGTTGCTCTTGCCTTCATCCGTTATCGAAGATGGAACTCGGGTCTCCAGCATGTGTGTAGAGTTGATTCAAGAACAGACATCACAGCACTCGGGGCATTCCCGTAAGCGCCCCGTTCACATCTTTAACAGCCAGTGCAGAGTTCCCATACTAATGTTGCCAGTAGCATTCTGATTAAACGTCCATCTTACCCTTGGACAGCCTAGCCACTGAATCACTCAAAACAAATGAAAAACAAAAAATAGTTAACAATAAACTTAACAGACAGAGTTGCTAAGGAGCGTGTCGACAACACCACATGTATAACGTGGGAGTAAACTGTATTGATTGTAGGAGACCTTTGATTGTATTGACTGTGGGAATAGTTTTGATTGTAGGAGCAGTTTTGGTTGATTGTAATAGTTGAAGAAGACGTTTGTGATAATTCTGTGGAACGATTGATTTGGTTGATTGTAAGAGTAGTATCTCTGTAACGTTTTAGGTGTCAACATTTAGTTATGTTACTTGTAAGAGCAGTTTTAAAAAAGTCATATTGACTGTAAACGCAGTTTGTGATGATTGTAGGAACTTACTGTTGGAGGCAGAGTTTGATTGTTTCAACTGTAAGAGACATTTGTTGTATGGTTGACTGGGCTGGTAGTACGAGACGTTTGCATGTATTGAGAAAGCTGATTGCGTAACAATGTAAGAGGCGTTTGGCTGGGTTGATTTGTAGAAGTAGCATGTGTCTATCTTAGGAGCTGATTGATTGAAAGAGACCACGGTGGAATGTACTGATTGTAGCAGACGTTTGCATGTTTTGAGAGGGTTTTTGTGTGCTGATCACAGGAGACGTTCGACTACATCGGCTCCAGTCGGATGGTCTATGACATGGAGCATGACAGTTTCCCCTGCGACTCCAAAACCAACCCGGACAACCTGCGCAACATAGACCTGGATCACCTGGACCAGATTGTCGAGGTCAACCAAGTGGGTCACATCAGCAGGAGCGGCTATCTGTGGACTCATACTGACCCACTCAGCTTTGGATACGCCAAGTCCAAGGTGAGACTCTTTACCTGTCATTCGTGTCTCTAATCGGTCTTTGTCAATTGAGGATCAACCTGGCTGGGTGGCTTAACCGTTTTCCCGATGGTCTAAAGCAGGGCTCTTCAACTAAGTTTACCAAGGGGCCAAAATTGGGAAAATGAGGATCGTCACGGGCCAGAGGGCTAAACCTTAGCATAGGAAAGATCATTAATACAATACAACTGGCAATGATCCGCGAGCCATTTGCTAGGCCCAGATTTGGCACGCGGGCGGCAGTTGAATAGCCCTGGTCTAAAGGTTGTGGATGGCGCCGTTCGGTTCACGTTCAGTATGTGCAGAGATCTCCCGAGGATCGCCGCTTGAGCTATGTTGTTCATGCTTTGTACGATGCTATCAGTACGAGGTCATTAGGCTTTCCGGTCACAGTTTGTGCGGTAAATAGTACTCCGCTGATTTAGACTTTGGTGCCCGGCTCGCTAGCGGGGTTGGTTAAACTTGATTTAGCGACGACCGGGTGACAAACTCCTTGTGGTCCGGGTTCACGCCCGGGGGTAGGCAGAAAAGCCACATTTCTTCCAGATTTACGGTATCTGTCATAGAATCAAGGCCAAAGGGTTGCACTATCCATAGTACCGAGCCAAAGGGTTTACAAATTATTAGGTCTAGTTAAAAAAAAAAAAAAAAAACATAAATAAAGACTTTGGTCGAAACGTTCGGTTGTCTTTGAGTGCGTCTTTTTTTATTTCATCTGCTGAGCTTTCTAATCCCATTTTATGTTGTTAAGTCGAGTGCACTTAAGTCGAACTCGGATAAGTCGAATTTCGGTTAAGTCGATATGACCAGCTTAGTCCCGGCAATTTTCTCTATTGTTTGTACTGTCTGGATAAGAACAGTCCTGATAAGTGGAAGCATTTTCCTCGGTCCCTGCGACTTCTACTTATCCAGACTCGACTGTATTTAGAACTTCTTGTCATCAGCTGGAATGCAGTCACCCCTTATTTACGTCATAATTTTTATAAAACAAGAGACACTTGCGGGTGAGAATATCAACAATACGCCGACCGCGTTTATTTCTCAGGACATTTTGTGGTATCCAGTTTAGGCTATAACGATCTCCTATGCAACGCTGGCTGACTGTCCAACATCTTCTCTTCCCCCCTCCCCCCCCCCCCTCTGCCTCTCTTCCGCTCTGACTTTGCCACCATCCCGAAGTACTCCAGTCTTCTCCTTGGCATGATGTGACCAAAGAATGTGGATTCTTCCCTTCTGATTTCGGTAACCAGTTCTCTTCGTGTCTTAATTTCTGTCAAAGCTATCTTCATTACTTATTTTAAATCTGTTCATAGTATTCAGTCGGCTCGTAAAGCCGAGATGCCGGGTTCGATCTCAGCTGCAGGGGCCACACGCTTTGCGTTGGTTTCGACAGTGGTATCAAGAAAGCCGACCGTCCAGAATGAATGGCAAAATACTGGACGTAAATTTGCCTAAAAAAACCACACAAGAGGCTGGTTCTGCAACGTCCTGCAAAGGATACGCAACTAAACTTAGTATTCTTATCGCTATTCTAAAAACCACATGTCTGCAGCTTTCACATAATAGTTCGCGAATCGACTTAACTATTCGTGATTCATTTTCACTTGTGAAAGTCTCTCTCTCTCTCTCCCCCGCACCCCCCCCCCCGGATTGTAGTCTGTAGGATTAACCTCTCATGGATTAGAATCAAACAGGTAGAAGTCCACGACAAAAGAAAAATTAAACAACAGAAAGGAAATGTCTATTGCGAATCCTAAATGTTACTAAAGAGTCGGGATCAGAAATGACGACATCAGGAATGAAGTTGGGACGGAACCAGCATTAAATTACACTAAGAAACACAAGATCAAACGGTCTGGACATGTTTCCAGACCACAACCAGACAGTGCAGCATAGAGAGCCCTGTCACTTAGACATAATGGAAGCAGAACCTTGAGTCGATCACGCCAGCGATGGATAGATGGAATATCCGAGGACGTGACTACCAGCATCTGCGAAGCACATAGTAAGGCTCTCATCTATAAAACCTGAAGCTGAAACCCCCCCCCCCCCACTTTTTTCCCCCAAATATAATAATAATAATAATAATAATAATAATAATAATAATAATAATAATAATAATAAGAAGAAGAAGAAGAAGAAGGAGGAGGAGGAGAAGAAGAAGAAGAAGAAGAAGGAGGAGGAGAAAAAAGAAGAAGAAGAAGGAAGAAGAAGAAGGAAGAAGAAGAAGAAGAAGAAGGAAGAAGAAGAAGGAAGAAGAAGAAGGAAGAAGAAGAAGGAAGAAGAAGAAGGAGGAAGAAGAAGGAAGAAGAAAAGGAAGAAGAAAAGGAAGAAGAAGAAGGAAGAAGAAAAGGAAGAAGAAGGAAGAAGAAAAGGAAGAAGAAGAAAAGGAAGAAGAAGAAGAAAGAAGAAGAAGGAAGAAGAAAAGGAAGAAGAAGAAAAGGAAGAAGAAGAAGGAAGATGCAGTGATCTTCATTGTTATTAATTGCTGGCTCGAATGAGTCACTGCATCTCTCCATTCACCGACTGACAAGAACGAGAAAACATGGACGCTGGCAGACGTTCAGAAGTTACACGTACTGTTTATTTTCACTCGCTGTTGTTGCAGTCAGTAAATGTCTATATACAACAATATTACTCATCAATGCTCTAAACAGCCAACCATACCTTTGTAACATCGTCC